TATAAAATAGCATCCACTTCGGATTAGGCCACGAACACCGGCTCTTGGTTCATCAGCTGCCTTCACAGATAATGGACGATTTTCACCCACCGGCCGATTTTTGACTTTTTCTTCCAAAATCTGTTTACAGCACGTGGAGTTATAACTAGTGCCATAAACTTAAAATGACGCTATTATGAGAAGGGCTATAGTGATTAATACTGAGTCATAAATGAAGTGCACCCTAAACGTAGCAGAATAAGTTTTGCTCTTTAAGATTTAAAAGCATAGTAGCTTTTTTCAAACATTATGAATCATACACAACAGAAAACTACTAGAAAACTATGTATCGCAAATCCGATGAGCAAACGGAAGAAGCATATGAAGGGTGAACACTCGCTGAACTAGCAACCAACAATGATAAAGCGAAAGGAATTATGGCTGATACTGCGTGCCTGTACACATGCACATGTTTTACAGCAGTAGGCGGGAAGCGTAGTACTAATGATGCTGCTCCTCGTAACCACATTGAATCACGGAGAAGGTTCACCGAGTCCGTCATCCTTCGGGAATCGGAGAATTGGTACCGGACATAATTAGGAAAAGGCCACTCTCTGCAATCCAACGAAGAGCGTTCTAAATCGGCTATATTAGGACTACCGAGACAACCGACTCGAGCACCATTTAAAGACATTTACGACAAAAGAAATAGCGTTAAGCAGCAACCAAAGTCGAACACAAAGTTCGAAGACCCTCGTGGACGGTAGAGGCGACAAGGGGAATCGAGTACAAGAAGTGCTGAGAACCGCGCAATATGTGGTACCCGGTTGTGTAAAGTCAAATAAAACATAAAAGGATAGAGAATAAAGCACTCGGCGTTAATCAATTCCTGAGAGAGGAGCTATGCATTCGATTTCACTAAGCATAGTTTGAAGGTGATTTAATGCATACCTGACCTACCTTTACAATGACTCTCGGTGGCCTACCGATGTATCGAGCCAGTGCTGCTATCCTCCCAGACAAATCTGGTACCAATTTGCCAACCCTGGGAAGATGGAAGGTTTGCTGGGCCATTGAAGCGGGATCGCTTCCACGTGTGCGTTGCAGGGCGCCTCCGACCACTGTGCCACGCGCGCCCTTTTTTGTAAGTCCATAGTAGTGCGCAAAGATATTGCCCGTTTCCAACGAATCGTCTACTTGTCTAAAAAGATGGGTGCAGGTTCTACAAAGGAATTTGTAAAGAAATTGCACCTGCATGGAAAGGGAATCAATGACGAACTAACCGTATTTTCGCAGCGAAATGGAAATGTATTGAAAGCGATGAAGTGAGAGAAATGCAAGGAACTGCAACAATTTTTCTGCCTATTTTCTTCTTTTTCAAAATTTGTCAACAGTACCTGAAACAGTTCCCAAGATCCCAAGGTCAACTTTCTATTAACCTCGGCACTGGATTATAAATATCTCGTTTTCAATGATGCTGAGATATTTGCAAAACTCCGGACTGCAGGTGAATGCGGTGGGGAACGAACACGCGCTGTTGTCCTTACCGAGGGGCAGCGCGCTTCACCACCACCCCATCCGGGTCCATCGTTTTGCCTGTCTCTCAGCTAGTTCTACCGATCTTTTGCCATCAGCAATCACCCGTCAACGGGATTGATCTGGGGGGCCCAAATCGGCAACGAACCCAGTTAAGCTGAGGCCGCAGTTATAATCACAATTTAACGTATTATTTACTGCCTATTCTTTTTAACGGCCACCGCATACACCTGCTGTCCGGAGTTCTGCAAATATCTCAGCATCATTGAAGTTATATTTCACAATGTATACCCTGCCGTTAAAAAGAGTAGGTAGTAAATAATACGTTAAATTGTGATTATAACTGCGGCCTCAGCTTAACTGCGTTCGTTGCCGATTTGGGCCCACCAGATCAGTTCCGCTGACGGGTGATTGCTGATGGCAAAAATCGATAAAACTAGTTGAGAGACAGGCAAAACGAAGGACCTGCATGGTGTGGTGATGAACGCGTTACTCCCCGGAAAGGACAATAACGCGTTCGTTCCCCATCGCAGTCACCTGCGGTCTGGAGTTTTGCAAATATCTCAGGATCATTAAAGTTAAATTACACTGCACATTATTATTTCACTTGTAATTCAATGTTTTCAAGGCAGTTCCATTCTTGTCAATTCTTTTCCATGTTTACTCTTCTCCCACTCAAATTATTCTGCATCGCCTGTTTAGGACCAATGAGGACAATCCCGTTCTCAACACCGCCTGTTGGTCGAAAATCAAGCATTGTCTGCGATGACAGCTGTTTAAACACAGGTTAACTGAGTGACGACGTTTCAAGCTCAAATTTCAGGCGATCTTTATCCAGTAAATTTTTTTGTTTATTATTTTGATCACTGATTTTTGACCAGCCTTCCATGTAAAGAAGCTCTTAGCTTTTTTCTTAAAAATAAGAAGACAACACACGTTGAAACACTACAAATGCAATCATTCGCTTATACTCAACGAGGAACTCCTACCTTAACCATAGGTAGTATTTCACATAAAATTCACGGAACTCAAGTAAACCACTCATGAAGCCACTCAAAAACCGTTCGCGTGGTTCTGACGTAGGTGGATGGGTATTTCATACAACCTGAAATCTCTCGTATGTACTTTTCAGACAATTTATTAATGCTTTTTGAACCAATGTGCATAATAAAATCTGCGAGGAAGTTCACGAATTCAGGAATTTGTCAACTCCTGTATAAAGGCTGCATGGCAGTCCAACTCAGCCAAGGAATCCACACTCATCAACTCGAGATCCTCCACAAGCCAACTGTGTAATACAACATAGAAATGGCGAAGTGAATTGGACTTCTAAAATTAAACGCAACGCTCCCTCTTTTTCCAATAACATGGAACGTACTCAAAGAACATATCTTAGTGAATGTGTCGTTTTCCTGTTCAGCAATCGCGAGGTTTTTAAACAGCATACATTTACTTCCATAGAGAAACACAATACAATACAACGCTAGCTGACGGATTCGGCAGTATCGCCTTCTTCAGAGCCTGGAAGGGTATACTGATATACAATCTACTAGGCCAAACGTTTCAATAACACTTACAAAAGACGAAAGACTGTTTGGTAATTACACGATCAACAACTTCTCGAAAAACCCACCGCTTTTTTGTGACTTCCAATGAGGAAGTTTAGAACAGCTGATTATAGTCGCATGTGGTTGACGACTGCACCATCCCACATCAAAAATCGATGCGAACGTACGGGATCAGGTCGCGTATGACCTCCGGGCATTCGTCCCTGCTATTCATTGTAGGGTTTTTGGCATTGATCCAAAAAGCCTCAAGAAGTTTTCGCGCTGCTGTTTTAGACTTCTGTGCAAGGATATTGACTTTTATTTTAAAATTGTCTCCGCTATGCTTTTGTATCCTATGCGTGCCTAGTGGGGTGCTTCGCCTTACTTTTCGTTTGCCATCTAGGTGTTCTTTTATACGGATACAAAAAGGTCTGCCCGTTTCGCCAATATATTCATCTCCGCAATTGTTACACGAAATCAGGTATATCGTACCTGAACTCATGCAATCACCGTCCCTGCCGTAAGGGCAAATTACGCAATTTGTTGTTTCACACAGACGGTCATACAGGCGGTTGCGAACTAATTGGCGACGTAGAGTAGTCGGTGGTATTTCATCTATCGCTACCGATTCCTCTAGACCTGCCCTTCTTAAGCATCGTTTAATAGCTGCGCTTACTTCATCGCTTATAAAAGGCAACATAAACGGGATTTTGTTTTGGCCAAGTGTTTCGCGTGGGCGTGTCGCTCTCCTTCTAAACTTATCTCGTGGAGTTACTATTTCTTAGCCATTGGAGATGGCTATTTGCCGAGCCAAGTCGCGCGATTCTTCCTTTAGTTCCCTGGTAGTGCACACAGAGGTGGCTGTTCGAAACATGTTTCTCACAATCGCCCTCTTTGTGTGTGAAGGGTGGGAAGAAAGGAAATGGACAAGGATGTTCTTGTTACTTGGCTTTCGATACCACTTTGTCAGGTAACCGCTACTTGATAGGTTTATTTGGACGTCCAAAAACGGAAGCCAGTTTTCTCTCGGTTTCTCCCGGGTGAACTTTATGTACTCGGACTGCTTGTTTAATAATTCAAAGCATTTATCCATCTCCTCCTGCGTAGAGAAGACGACAAAACAATCATCTACATATCTGCAGTAGAGTAGTGGCCGGAGATCGAGAACAGGGGCTTGTATCTTAGACATAAACACAATGGCCAGGCTTGGTGCCAATCGCTGTCCCATTGCCAACCCCCTCATTTGCGCGACATATTTCCCAGACCATCTGAAAATCGAGCAGTTTAGGCACTCCTTTAAGAGAGCCATTAGCTGCTTGATGGACAAGCCATGCATATTTATTCTTCCTTCATGTTCAACAAGAAGTTCGAAGATGGCTTGCATTGCGGAGTCATTCGATACGTTGGTGTACAGTGCGGCAACGTCGAAAGACTCCATCACGTACGCGTTATTAGGAGACGCGTTACGTAGACGTTCTAGGAACATTTGGGTGTTTGTGAGGTGAGCTGGAATGTGGTTAAGCAACCGGGTAAGTATCAGGCTTAAAAACCAGGTTATTCTATCCGTTGGCCCGTCTACGCGGCTGATGATCGGTCTAACATATCTTAGTACTGGGCAAATCCTTCGACATCACGGAAAGAACACGTGGTTGTTTGAATACCTCCACGAAATGGCACTAAGCAATGATTAAGAGAAGCGAAAGCTGCTCGACTGTGCCTAATAAGCATGAATAAGGTACATACAAAATCAGTTCCGTAGCACTTTGCTTACAGTTCTGAACAGAGGAAATGATCAATGACCAAATCCCTTTGTTTCAATGCCAGCTAGGATTCAAAATATTTTGTTGCCTATGTAAACGTTGAGTAGTAAAATCTGTATAAAAGTGAGGCCAACCAGAACAGAATACTCATTTTCTTTTCCCGTTTTTTTCTTGTAAGGATCGCTTTCATCTCGACGATTCAGAATGAGGGTTTTACTACTCGCATATGTTGCTGTCTTCGTCAACAGCGAAAAAAGCTTTGAAGAAAAATTGAAAGAAGGAAATCAGTTGCTCAAAAATGTACGTAAGAAGATTTGATCAGTTGAAATCCTTGAATGTGGTTATCAGCTATAGTCTTTTTGTTTAAATACCCATTTTTTGTAGAGCCCAAATGCGGATGATACGATGGAGTTTCTCCAGAAAATACACAGCATGGAAAAACAAATGAAAGAGGAATACTCTGCAAAGCCTAACGCCGAAGAACTGAAAGCGATAGAAGTGAGCAAATGGTGTCTCATACATGAACATTGGCGATGTGTGAATCTGAAGCTTTAGGAATACGCAAAAATCGAGCCATCTGACATGGGTGTTTCTATCGCAAGTGTCAATAGGGACAGCAAAGTTGGAAACGCACTTTTCCAAGGAGACATCATTCTAACGAAGTTCATTCATTTCTGGAGATTCGTTCGCCGATCGTTTTGTTTCATTATGTTCTGTTTTGACTTTCAGACAGCAAGCCGATGAGATTTTGGAAGACATCAGTGAGAATAAAGGCAATCGTAAAAAACGACAAGCATATCGTGACGGAAACTATCCTAAAACTCTATGGTCTCAAGGAATAAATTACGTATTTTGGAATGCAAGTTTGTCTTCTGTCCTCTTTTTAACAATATAGGCGCATAAACCATATTCCTAGCAAAAATGTTCAGCTCAGTCGGCAAGGCGAGTGTTCAGAAAAGCTGCTGTAATATGGAGTGAGAATACCTGCCTTAATTTCAAGGAGGATAACTCAGGTAAGCAAAGCAAGCATCGGAGATTGTTCAATTGTTCAGAGTTTAACGAGCGCTTAGAAGTCAAATTTCTAGCTAAGGATAAAGTATACGTTATACACGGTGCAGGATGTTGGTCACATGTCGGAAGAATCGGTGGATCTCAGATTCTCTCATTAGGCGACCGATGCGACCACGTATGTACTACCAAGAGTTCATAAACAATCACAATGAAATCGTATTTGTACTTCTATTCCAAAAAAAAAATTCAAACGAACTAGAATCACATGGCATTTTGTTTTATCCAGATTGGATTGGGCTTGCACGAACTCGGCCACACCATAGGTCTCTTCCACACGCAGTCGCGACATGATCGTGACGACTTCATCACACTGCATTTCGAGAACCTCATTGTAAGTCGTTACTGAATAAGCAGCGCACTTTTTTGGTAGAAAATATGCGGTTTTAGGACGGCTGGGAGGATCAGTTCACTAAGGAATCTGAGCGTACCAACCATAATTACAACATCACCTACGACTATGGAACTGTAATGCATTACGGAGCAACTGCGTTGGTTAAATGTCCAATGCTTCTGTATAGAACATATAAGAAGTGGTAAGAATTTTAATTATAGTGTCTCAAAAAATCGTAAGCCCTACATGGCGCCACGCGATTTGAAATTCTTGCCTACCCTTGGATCATACATTCTTTCATTCTATGAGAAACTCATGGTCAACCTTCACTACAAATGCCTCGGTGAGCATATTGCCATATATGGATGTGATTTATTGATACAACAGATAAAAACTATGTTTTCTAGAGAAGTGCACTGAAAGGTCCTCGGCAAAGTGCGAAAACGGCGGGTTCCCTCATCCAAGAGACTGCTCGAAATGCATTTGTCCCAGCGGATATGGCGGGAGACTCTGCAGTGAAAGAGTGAGGGAATTAATATGTTAACATGGTTCTGAAAATTAGAGATTGGACTAGTGCGTCTCTTTTTCAGCCACCTGGATGTGGTAAGAAGTTGACAGCAACAAACGAGTACCAAGAATTGTGGGACGTCGTGGGACAGAAGAATTATGACCGTTATTCTGCTAACGATGAATTTTACTTTTGCAACTACTGGATCGAGGTTTATCAACCTGTAACTGATTTGATTTAACAACTAGAAACAGCTCATTGCCTAAGGGACCTGCTGGTTCAACGATTGAAGTGATCTTTCAAAATTACACCGAAAACTTGGCCTACGACGGATGTGTATGGGCAGGTGTAGAGATTAAAACCTTAGCAGATCAGCGTCTTACTGGCTATAGGTAAACGTGCACCGCCACATAATTCGAAGTTGTATAGCATCCAACAGATCACATTTGCCTAGATTCTGCTCTCCGGATTATGGTGGAACTTCCCTGATCTCTACCCGCAACGTGGTTCCTGTAATTACTTTCAGCAGACTCTACGAAGTCACATCACTACTGCGCTATCGCATCGGTAATGCTCTAACTTGGAGCTTTTAAAGTGTTTTTGGAATAGTTTGATACAATCTCAAACCCCAGCTTCCTCTGGCCCAGCAACGTCTAAAACAACACCTGAACCAACGTCTGGGCAGACACGTCGACCCACATCTCAGCAAACACTTTTGCCATCGTCTCAGTCAACACCTCAAACATCATCAGAGGGAACACCTGGTCCAACCAGTAAGCCGAAGAAGCTCTGCTATGAACGTAAACTGTACGTGCTCTTAAGCATTCACTTAATACTCCTACGTAATCTGCATAACGAAGAAGTCTTATAGGTGCCAAATACTAGTCAAGTTGGGCCTTTGTGATTCTTCTTTATACACTGTGGAACTCAAGCAACAAGTCTGCCCGAACTCCTGTGCATAATGTTCAGTTTCATCGTGAATAAATTCATTCAGACATATATATATATATATATATATATATATATATATACACTACTTATGCATGTACGTAGTTTCCCTGAACATGTACGTATTTGAAAGGTGGCCAATTTTCACAATTCCTTCGGCTTCTCTAGCAAAAGTTATCCCGGCTTAAACGTTTGGCCACCTTTAAGAGATTTTTGATATTATGAGTGAACATTTTAGGACGCCAAGGTAGCGTCGGTAATTGCCACCTATCTTAAAAACTGGAGCTAATTCGGTTATCACTTATAGGAAATGTCGGTTTTTTAAGCATAATCCTTTCTAAAATGGATTAAACTGCAGCAAGTTGACTAATAATAGATGCCCTAAGGGGCACGAATAATTTAGTGTAGGTGCGTTAGGATAAAAAATTGAATGAGAGATGGGCAACGTAAGGGTATTCGTGGTGCAGTGGTTAACATGCAAGTTCCTGAAACGGTAATGGAAAGTTCGAATCTAGCCTGGGATGTGAGTTTTACAAATATCTCAGCATCAGTGTGGTTTAGTGTGAGCTCTCGCAATCTGCACCTCCTTTCCAGTTTCCGAGTTCATAGTCTTTTCTTTCAGTATGATAAATAAAAGATAAAGCTCTCAGCGTTGATCAATCCCTGAGGGATGAGCCATGCATTCGACTTCATCAAGCATCGTTTGGAGGTGATTGAATGCATATCTGGCCTTTACAGTAACTCGTGGTGACCTACCGATGTACCGAACCACTGCTGCTATCCTCCCAGACAATTCGGGTACCAATTTGCCGACCTTGGAGGGATGGAATGCTTGGTAGGCCATGTGCGCGTGGATCGACTCCACGTCTGTGTCGAAGGGACTTTCCGACCACTGCGCCACACACGCCTCTTTCAGTAGAGTTTTATAAAAAATCAGTGATGAATTGACCAGCAAATAAGGCATTGCATTTGAAGGCCTAACTCTCTGTAGCTCACAAATCTGAAAAGAAGAAAAATTCAACTCTACGCTGAGGATTGTCACAGCACGTTGAGCACATTGAAGAGATGACACCTGCATGATACGCTCCGAGCTAAGGGAGCCTATATCCTTCCATGATCGGGAAATTAGCACCAGACTTATTAGCGAGGTCGAAAACACTGATTTAATGATAAGCCTCACAAGTCATTTTTTAGGATAAACATTCATTTAATCACTTTTACAACACTTAATGGAGTCGAATATATAGAGCACCAACAGTTCCCAAATGTTGTCGTATTCCGTACAGCTTGTCATGTCTGCTGTATCAAAAAACGATGGAAAAATAAAGATGTGTGAACAGCTTTAAACATTTATCTTTTATCGCAATTTAAACCCCAAGGAAATTACATATAAAGGATCGATTGGAACTCCAATACTCTCCCTTGAAGTTCGACTTTCGAAAATTTTGATTCTTCTCTTCTTTTCAGCCACAATGATAGACCACATATGTGGTTTGTCATCCCATGTGCTTTGCTCTTGAGTTATTGTAAATCAGTTTTTAAACCTTATACAAGTGTGTAGCAAATTTCATAATCAAGGACAATGTATGAAGGGCGCGTGTAGCGCATTGGTCAACAGGTGCCCAGCAATGCACATGAATTTGATCCCACACTTCAGGTTTACCAAGTCTTCCGTCCCTTTAGAGTGGGTAAATTGCCACCAGGCTTGTTCGGAAGGTTAACATACAAAGTTGACACATTGATAGGCCACGGCGAGTCATTTTAAAGGCCCGATATGCCGTTCAATCATCTCTAACGATCCTTGATGAAGTTGAGTGCATCGAGTATTCCTCAGGAATTTTTCAACGCCGATAGCTTTATCTTTTTCTAAAATAATAAAATCTGCAGTCCGTCGCAAAAAAATTGAGTGAAATATGATTTCCTGCGATCTGCAGACATAGTGCTTTCATCGAATTTTAAACATGGAGACAATTAAACAAGTATTTAGTCAAGCTCTTAATGCTTTCGACTCGTTTAGTAGTTGCTTGTCGTCTTCTAGTCTGTTATGCCGGTCTTTCATTACTATTTTGTTTTTTTACTTTATTTTTTGTTTGATCTGTCTTCACGTCTACTGTGTGGATCCCTGCACTTCTCACATCCATTTCGTTTCCTCGCATCCACAGTCCACGAAGGTCTTCCAAGTTTTTACACGTGGCTTCGGTTGTTGCTTGAGGATTTTCATATCATCTTCAATGTCGTAGTATGCTGGCCGAGCAATTCTCCCTGGAGTCCTGAGATAGCCGGATTGGAGCGCTTCCAATTGGATTTCAGAGTGGATTATTTCCCAGAAAAGCCCGGTACCAAGTTCCAGACCCCGAAGGGATGAGAGGCTTGGTTGGCCCGAAGCGGAATCGAACTAACACCATGCTCGTGATGATAGACATCACTACCACTGTGCTATCCGCCCCTCCTTTCATTACTAAACAGTTCGATAGCTCAGACTTCAGTTGTGAAATCGTTTCTATACAACAGTACTGATGTAACAATAGCGGAATGACGATATCATGCAATGCAGGTATAAAAACACAAACAATAACCACAAACACAATAACAAACAATAACAAACAATAAACACACCATTAAGCAATGACTATCTGAGAAAGGCGAACAGTGGCAAAAGATAGTAATAACAAAAAGCCTTCAGCAATTAAGCACTTAAGCAATACGACGGAATTATTGCAGTACATCCCTAGCCGGAAAAAGCGTGGTCGAGTAATATCGGAACAAGGTGCTTAAGTGACCAAAGTGGTAAATCCAGAACGATCTTGCCTCCTAGTGCTCACGGAAGGGGAAGAGCTAATGAGCTAGAGGGACTGGAGGATGTAGACTGGGAGAAATGTGCCCGATTCCGGCAGAGGGTCATCGATCCGTGTGTGATCGCCGAGAAGGTAGCCCGTGGAGATCAATAAAGAAGAAAGGAAATATGTGGTAATATTGACGCGTAAGCCATATTCTCAATGAGGCAGAGAAATTTCCACGGCTATCCTATTGGAATAGGTGTATGTAAAAATATCGACATATATTCCTTTCCATGACTAGTAATCACATCCAATGTTTCATTTAGCTCAACTGCGCAGATCCCAGCACTTTTTGCACTTGATTCATTTCATCCTTTACAATGGTTTTCGAACATTTCGCTTGTTGCTTCGGTTAAGGAGTTCGTCTTCCTTTCGAAAATCGTAGAATGGTGATCGAGTCGATTCTCTTTGCAGTCTTGGAGATAGCTGAACTAAGGAATTCCCACGCGAATTTAGGAAACCGTTATAGAGCAAACATATATAATGGAGGCGTTGGACATTTATTAACTTCACATATTTTGTGAATCTCCCAACAATGCCGGCAACAACGTAGTTATACAGCGTAGGAGTTCCTTTTCTCCACAAAAAATAACAAGCCCGAAACCACAATGTTAACTTTCGACTTATTGCCTGTTATTGTTTTTCAAGGAAGAGTATGATGTGAAATGCAACCACTACGACGCTGAGATATTTGCAAAACTTTGACGCTAGGCCAGATCGAACTGCGGTTACCGTTCCTGGACTTGTGCTACGCACGGCCCCACTGAGGCGCTCGTCTTGCTTTTCTCTCACTCAGCCAAAGTTTGCAACCTTTCAAATACCGAATTGAATCAATTGAAGAACTCAAGAACTACAAAGAAAACAAGAAACCAGAAAACAGTGGCGATATATGCAAAAAAATCAAGTTGTAGACCGAAAAGTGCAAGAAAACGCGTGCAATCGTATGTTGGCGAGCAACTGGTCCCGTTTTAGATTATGTAAACCCAGAAAAAAAAGCAAAAAAAATTAGTTGATGGATCTGCAAAATAGATTTAAGAGACGAGTTTAAGGACGTTAACAGAGTGTCTTAGAGAACATTTGGAAGAGAGGGATCAACGTTGAGGGTTCTGCTCTTCATAACTATATTTGTGTATAATAATGGACTAGCCGAGTCTATCTGCGCTAACTAAATCCACCTTCAGAGAATCTTTGGGAGAAATTTGATAACATATTTTAGCCTTGAGCTTAAATACATGCGTGAAATAAACCATTGGAACCTGCACGTATATACCAATGTAGTATAGCTTTATTTATTCCATTATGGTATAATTATAGGTTTCTAATGACCTTGTGACAGAGTGCGTGTGGCGCAGTGGCTGGAGGCGCCACTGCGACACACACGTGGAAACGATCCCCGCGCACATGGCTCACCAAGCCTTCCATCCATGTGGGGTCGACAAATTTGTACCAAACTTGTCTGGGAGGATAGCAGCACTGGTTCGATAAATCAATAGGCAACCGCGAGTCATTTTAAAGGCCAGACATGCATTCAATCACCTCCAAACGATGCTCAGTGAAGTCGAATGCATGGCGCATCCCTTAAGGATTGATTAACGCCGAGAGCTTTATTTTATCCTATCCTTTAACGACCGTGTTTTCAAGGTAAATTGGGGCTGTTCAGCACATTGGTTACGTGACCTAATTTTCAATCGCGCTTTCGATTGGTAATCTGTGACTCACCTCGGCCAAGATGATTGATATGTTAGGGCACCACATTCTTACTACACGCAAGTCGAAACCGTTGCGAACAAGAATGGCCACGCCTTGGTTCTCTTTCACTGCCAGTCAGCACACGATCGCGGCGATTTTCAATTCAGAAAGCGATTTAGACAGAAAGACAGGCACCAACCACGAGTACAACCTAAAGTATTTCAGTTAGTAATCACAATAAAATGATAAAAATTCAATTGTATTCTCTCGAAGAACTATAAGCACGTCGTGATACCAACCGATATTAAACATGTGTAAACCTTTCGATCACGAATGATTGCAATTCACTATGAGCTCATGATTTCTCCTTCTCAACAACTAGGAAATCTAGATAGGTGTTATAGAAGCCCATCGGTTAGGTGCCAAAACGGGCGGTTCCAGCACCAAAGGCACAATGCTCGAAATGCGTTTACTCTGGCGGATATGAC